TTTTTTTTTTTTTTTTTAAAAAAAAAAAAAAAAAAAAAGTTTCGGGTTTCACATATAAATCTGTATTTGGAAATCTATCCTTTCTTAAAATTTTTTAATTGTACCATTCATAATAGTGCCCCCTGACAAGAACAATTCAAAGCGTAAGTTGTATTGTTATAATAAATTAGGGTGACCTTTCTTATTTCACTAAATTTAGAATTTTATTCAGACGATCATAATATAAACAATGACTTCATCTTTTTAAATTCTCGGGATTTCCCAAGGTTGTGTAATTATATATTAACAAATAATTTGTTAACCAAAATTTCACGGCCAAATTATTTAAATTTAGTTCCTGCAAGGCTGCAACCAATTATCGAGTATTAGATGAAGCAAGAAATAGATGAATTAGAAAAAGCAAAAGTATATGGTGAACTGTTTAAATCAGAAACAGGAATTCAACGCCGAAAAATCTCAAAAAGAAAGAAATAAAGATCGAAATTTTGTCTTTTCTTTGCAGTTAAGTAATAAATCCTAATCTTATATTAATATTAGTAATTTGGGGTAAGTTATACACTATTTATCACGCCTGTTATCACATTTGTTATAAAATTATTTGTCATCAGATGGTCGACCGACCATAATTTCATGGTATCTAAAATGGCACACATTTCAAGATATTAGGAGTAAAGATTTATTGATTTATTTATTTATAAGGTTTTTTCAGTAAAGGTTTTTTGCAAAAGTATTGGTACTTTTCAGTAATAATGGTTTAAGCTGTGCAAAAATTGAAATTGAAATAATCATGCAACCATTTTTTTAATGCACACGTGCTATTTATTAATTAGATTTCGTTAAGGCCACCCAACCGGCCTGCAAATGCAGCAATTATTAATAAATTATTCAATTAATTACTAAAAATTTTAATTTCTGTTTATATTTTGATAGAATGGAAAACTTTTTTGAATTCAACTCATTAATAATTTTTAAAAATAAATAACTAATTTTAACCAATTGTTGTAAAAATATTATTATTATCAAATAGAGCTTTTATTTAAGCATAATTTGCTTGATTTAATAAAACATGCCATAGTGCCCTGGTTATATATTTATGTATTTTTTATTTATTACTTTACCTTTTTATTCTATACTAGTTATTAGTAGATTAGCTAAACTAATTATATTAATATAATAATTATATTTCACTTTGCAGTATTTTAATTTTTCACATATATTTTTATAAGTTTTTCAAATTTTATATTTTACAATATTTGCAATAATAATAAAAAAAAATAATTATTTTGCATATTAGTGCAGAATATTTTGAGTTAATATTATCCAAAAGATATATTAGAAGCTTTTATATTTTAGCATATTTTATAGAATAAAATAATATGAAAATAATATAGACATATATTCTGGCTAAATATATTTCAATTTCAAAAATTTTAAAAAAAGGAGTTTTTTAATTTCTTAATTAATAATATAATTCCAGTTCATTATATATTAGGTAAATTTGTTTCAGCAAAATTTAAATACAAATGAACTGAATATTTATTAATTATTTTACCATTAAATAGAATATTTTATATTTAAATTTACTATACTTTTTTTTTGTAAAATTATTTGATTATTATAAAATTTATTTAATGTTTAGTAAATAATGTTTAATAATAGTACATTTTTTTTTAGTAAATGATCTAATTTTTGCAAAATATTACATCTTTCTAATAAATGTTAACAAATATTATATTTTGCAAAAAAAAATATCATATTTTATGCCAAAAAATTGGTAAAATTTGATTTTAATTACAATAATATTATATTGAAAGTAAATTGTAACAATTTTTTTAATTAGCAATATTTTAAGGTGAGTTATATACAGTATATTATGTAACATTCAGTTTAATATAAGCTTACTCCTTTTTTTCTCCTGTCAGATTTAATAACCAATTAAATTATAATATTTATAAATTATATAAATGTAACGTAAAATTTTAGTTATTTTTCTTTTCCTTTAATAATTATATAATATCTGTAAGCTCTTTAATAATATTATAAAATCTTATTATAATGATATTACAATAAAAGTAAAATATGAAATTTTCATAAAAATGCACTATTACATACAAGAAAGTAAAATTTAATAAAATTATAATAATATAGTCAGACCTTTATGTAATTACATTCCATATAGTCATACCTTTTTATAAGTATTTATTTTTATGAAACCAACTTGTAATTAATTAAAAAGTCTCTTTATAATTTCAAAATAATTATAATCACTATTATATCATTTTCATAAACGTACATATCATTTTTATTAATAATAAAACCTTTTTGCAATCATATGATTTTCCTATTGGTTATAGATTTAATTGATTGTAATACACAAAGTATATAAATATTTGCAGTATCTGCAGATATTTGTCTAATACTACTATTTTTTATGTATCATCTATATTATGCTACCAGAAAAATTTGAGAGTAAATGAAGCTATTCAGCTATTAGTGATATTATAAAATGACAAATTTGTGAATAGGCAGAAGCTAATAAAAATGCAAAGCATACAGAAATTGCTAAATACTTTAATGAAAAATACTTCCACCTAAAAATTAACTATTCTATCATTTCAAAGATTTTGTCATAACATGACAAATAGAAAGTTGTTTTGGATAATAAAATATCTAATAAAACATATAAGTATAAGCTAGTTAAGTTTCTGTTATTTGACCATGTTATGATTTTATGGATGGAAAATATAATAGCTGGTGGTATTATTTTAATAGATTTATTAATAAAAGAAAAAGCAAGAATTTTTGTTAGTGCACTTAATATATAAAAAAATAAATTTGCTTTTTCTAATGAGTGGTTACAAAAGTTCAAAAAATGTAATAATATTTACTGGTTATCTCTCTTATAAGAGTGATAACCAGTTCAGCTATATTGTTATCTAGTTATGAGTATACTGTTACCTAGTTACAAGTAAACTGTTACCTAGTTACTGTTTTCAGTATTCTGTAGCCTTTTTATTACTTTATTGCTATCCACTTGATTTTATTACTCTGTAGCCTTTTTATTGCTTTGTAGATATTTGCTTGATTTTATTGCTTTATCCTTTTTTTATTACCTTCTAGCTATCCGCTTGTTTTCATTGCTCTGCGGTCTTTTTGTAGCCAAGATGCTAGGCCAGCATTGATTGCTAAAAATCATGTTATGATCGGGTAGCGCAGTTAATTTGCTAATCAGATTTTGGCCAGCACTATGGCATAATTTCTGGCTAATCCTTAGGTGGAATATCTTGGCTTCCTGTGATTGGTTTTATGCGGTTTTATAGTCGTTTGAAAGAGGACGCTGAGAGCTTTCCAATGATGTCAAGATCGCATGGATCGGATACCTGTATGCCAAGATATTGCGTCCCAAATATTTGAAAAAAAATATGAAATAGTGCTGGCTGAAATTAACGAAATTTACTGTGTCTTACTGCGCCGGTCATGTGTTTCAGTTCCTTGCCAGTTCCAGGCACTTTTCTGTCACTTTCAAGTAACTTTTGAGTAACTTTCAAGGGCCTGGTGTGATAGGCATTATTATGGCCAGCCTATTTGATTGCCAGATGAGGCACGAAGTGCCGAATTTGCAATCCATCTATTTGCTAAAGATGTACTGCAATCCATTCACTCACTTTTTGATTGCCGGTCAGGCACAAAGTGCCGATGTTGTGCCATTCTTGCAATCCCGTTCATGACCATTTTGATTGCCGAGGATGAGGCACGAAATGCCAAATTTATGCCCATTCTTGCAATCCCGCCTCTTATATGTCCTTTCTGATTGCTGAGTGAGGCACATGCGGAGTGTCGAATTGGTTCAGGCTATATTACTTTCATGCCCTTTTTTTGTGTATTCTCCTGAACCTTTCTGCCTTCCCACCCTCTTTCCTACCTATCATATAGTGACCCGGATGCGCCAAACTTATCTCTCTCTTTCCTATATATAATTTTGCACATCTGGGTCACCTAAATTTGCCATGCTTTTGGCTTCTAGACCCTGTTCCTGTATAGTTTTTACTTCAGGATATCTTTGCATCGATTGCTTTGGTGTATTATTTAGTATATTTATTGCATGTTTATGCTAGTAATCTGATTAGAGGTCAAAATGGCATATACTTTTTTATTTCGTTTTTGAGTCATACATATTACATTTTTTATTTTGAACTTTGCTAGTTTCTCTGTTATTTTATACTAGTTTCTTGTATATGGGGACGCCCGTAGCAAAAAGGGGGGATAGGCCAAAAAATTCAAATTTGAGATTTTATTATAATTATATGTCTATTAGTCTAATTATTAAGAAAATATGGGTTTTTATTAATAATATATTAGTAAAAAAGTTTAATTTTGAAATTTTCTTATTATTTGCATTTTACTTTTATAGAATTAACAAGCAACATAAACTTATTAAAAGAAAATCAATACTCTTAGTAAATTGCCTGTAAAATTTAGCTTTAGATAAAAAAAAAAGGTCCGAAAGTCAATTTATTTCACAATTAAGTGATGATCTGCCAAATTTATCACGTGATTTAAATTGCGATTTTTTTAAAATTACGGAATTATCCCATTCCCCCCTTTTGCTATGGGCGTCCCCATATACTGTCATGCTTGCGCAAAAAAAGAAATTCCTAGGGTCTAGCCCTAAAATAATAAATAAAGCAACCAGGCTTTTCTCTGGTTTAGCGGACCTCGATTTTGAGCCTGGTTATAATAATCATATATACTTTCAATATCTATCCAATAATAAAAATGATATCTCTCTTCTAGGCGCCTATCATCCTGAAGAGATTTATTTAAAATATATAGTTCGAGTGGCAGAGAAGGGTTTTACAGTTGTCAACCACCCATCCGAAGTTTATGGGTTACCCGATACTCATGAATGTATTGATGGGAGTCTGCCTCTTCATCTGGTTCTGAACATTGATGCGAGGCAAAAGCCCGATCTTATGAACCCTGAACTCTCTTCCTTAGATAGATATAAAATTTCTCGCGAAGATTTATTATCCAGAATTTTAATTGCCTGCGTCAATATTATAAATACTGATTTAAAGCATTTTGCAATATTAGGTGCTTTTGTGTTAGTCAGTTCGTCAAATGATAATAAATGCAGTTGGCATATTATCTATCCTTATGCCCGTTTCATTGACTATAGAGATCTTAAGGGTTTTGTAGAAAAAGTCGCTGATAAGGTTGGAAAACCATACTCAAAGTTTATCGATATTGGACTTTATAAATCTCGCTTTAGTCTCCGGCTCCTTGGATCGGCAAAGGAAGATAGAGTTAAAAGGCCTGCGATTTCTTCAGTTAAATAAGGATATCGCAAACTAGAAGATTATTTAGTTCAACCTAAATCTAATTATTCTGAAATCTGGCCATGGACCTTTTCTCCTGAGAAAGAAGAGAAGAAATTTCAGCCTATCGAAGATGAAACCACCTTAAGTAACGGAGCCAGCTTAGTTATCGCAAAATATGGATGGCTTGAGATCGGAAAAATTGGGAATGGATTTGTCTACTTTCAAGCCCAATTATATGAAGCATGTCCTATTTGTGAAATCAAACACGAGAAGGATCAGTTATATGGCTTTCTTCGAAGTAATGGCTGTTTTGTACTCAAATGCTATCGGCAGAAAAATTATAAACCAGATCATAAGTGATTAGCATTTGGAAAAGTGATCGAAATTTCTGCAAAACCTAAGAGAGGAATAGTTGAAAGAATAGGTGATGCTATATCAAATCCACGCCCCCTTGTAGAATTATCAGAGACAATGATTAATGTAGAAAAATTAAAGGATGCTCCAGAAGTATATCCCGATTTCTTGGGTATTGAGAAAATGATAACACTTATTCGTTCTCCTCCAGGAACATGGAAAACCACTACATTAAGAGAGATTATTATGGCATTGAAAAATAAGGTATATGATCTCTCTTCTTTGCCATGTTATATCTGGGTTTCTTACCGAAAGTCTATTAGTAATGAATCAAAAACGAAACTTGATGAGCTAAAAGCATCTGATTTTCAAATTTGCAATTATCAAAATATACAAGGAGACTTATCTATAAATGAATGGGATATTATCATAGTACAGGTTGAGAGTCTTTTCTGTATCAAGTTTACAGCCCGTCCATTTGTAGCTATTCTTGATGAAGCTAATACCATTATGCGTCAAATGTCTAGCGATACAAATGCACGATAATCTGAGAACGCAATACGTGATGTACTAAGATCTGTGAGATATGTTTTGGCCATGGATACTTTTGCAAATACATCAACACTAATCTTTCTCCAGACTTATCATGGTGAAAATATTCGCATAGTTGATAATAAGTATCAGCCTCGTATAGGCGAGACAGTTGAATTTATTTATGATCCAAATAGCAGAGCTGAAGCTATGCGAATAGGATATGATCTTTTAAGGCAGGGCAAATGTGTAACATTCGTATCTACTGGAGCAGTGATGGTTAGAGCGCTAGTAGAAAAAGCATCTAAGTTATTTAAATCTGACAATTCTCCTGTTAAAGCCCGTGCATATTATGGGAATATGGATGGGAAGCAGAGACAAAAAGACTTCTCTAATATTGATGTTGCTTGGGGTGAGCTTGACTGTGTAGCTTACACAAATACAGTGGAGGCGGAAATATCATTTGAAGTTACAGGCCATTTTGATATAGTTATAGCTATTACAAAAATCACCACTCCAGTTCATGTTGAGGCTCTTGCGCAAATGCTTTATCGAATTCGTGACTGTCCTCGTCATATTGTTTCTGTGTTTTATCAAAAAAATTCTAATGAACTTTTTCGCCCATCAGGTCGTGAAAATATTCGGGCAGAACTTGCTAGTGCTCGGCCTAATAACTTACCTATAGCAATAAAGGGTCATCGTGAATGGGATAGCAATGTCGTTTCTTATAAAATCGACAAATCTCCTGCTGTAATAACATTCATTGAAGTTGAGCATCAGAAACGCCTTTCTGCGAGATACTTTATTGAAAAGCTTTGTAGTCTTATAGCCAGTACCAGCGCTTCTCTTCAGCTAATAAAAATGGATGAGAGCCGAGGTGTTATAGGAAACCGTAAAAAGTCCGCAATGAGGTTAGGATTGAAGCATTAGTTATCAAGGAAACAGATTTTGATGTGGTTGCTACTTCCCGGAATCTTGATCTTGAAGAAGCTGAAAATCTTAAGTTTGACCAAGAACGCTCTATCCCAAATACTATGGCACTTAAACGTGATCACTAGTGACACAACTGCTCTGATCCCACTGTTGAGCATGGTCATATAACTAGCGAAAAAATCGTAAATGCATCTCAAACCATACCAGCTGAAGTACCAGCATTCTCTCAGCCAAATGCTTCACCAGAAATGATTTCATCAGACATGTTTCAAGCAAGTGTATCATTTGCATCCCAACCTAAGCCAGCTTATGATCATTCCTATTTTTGCAACAAGATATTGGATCAATATCCTAATCTATATAGAGAATGTAGTAGTGAAAATTTCGATTATTATAGGATTACTGATGAGACATCAGAGGACTATATCTGCCCATTATGCAAATTAGGTCATGATGATGAAGAAATAGAAGGTAGGTATAAAGCAGGATCTTACTTTATTAAATGTGAACAGCGTGAAATTGAGATAGTTGTGTAGTCTCATTGCTTTACAATAGTCTGGGAATTTTAATCTTTTTTTCGAATGAATAGGTCTATATGAGAAAAAAGGGATTTAAATTGTTTGCAGTTATATAAAAAGGAAAATGACTGAGTCTGTTAAAATACTAACCGCCAATTATCTGGATTGGCATGCCAAATTAACTGGGTTACCAAGTATTTTGACAGATAAGATTCATTCCAAATTATACAAAAGATATAAAAAAGAAACTGGAAATGAGCCATGGCAACTATCAGAAGTACATGAATCGGAAGTTATAAATTCAAAGCCAGAAAAAGGGCCCATCACCTTCGAAGCCAGACCCGATCCAGAATTAATTATCAAATCCGTCTTAGAGCACTTCCCATACTTGAAATTCCGAAATAGTTTTAGAGGGATTGATAATTATAATTTTGCATCACCTCAGCCGTGGAGCTCACCATGTCCTATTTGCGATGGAAAACATGGAAATTATGGATTACATGGCGAATGGTATAAAAATGGAACAGAATATTGTCTTACTTGCTTCACTTCAAGCAATAAATTCAAATTCGCGATCGTAGCATATGCCAGTCATGTGAGACCGATCACCTGAAATGCGCAGTATCCAGAACCAAAATAATAGGACTGTGCAACATAAGGCTGAATTAATGAAATTTTGGTCACACAAGAATTTTTTGACTATATTAATACAATATATCATGCCGAATTTCTTACCAAACAATCAGGATAGTACAGCTTATAAGGAGCTGGAAGGCGCTTTGCTAAGGCAAAACTACTTTGAAAAATGGCATATATTTAGGGGATGGAAGCATGGTTGTAAGGTTTGTGAAGAATGCAATCATCACTCACATCTGTATTGCAAAAGGTGTAAGAAGTAGCAGAAGGAATTTATAAGCGATGTGAATGTTCTCAAGTAATTTGATCAATAAAGCAATGATGCAAATTTACCAGACGTTTTATAATTTTTTTGCATGGAGTGAATGATGAGATTGTGTGAAGCAATGTGTGTGCTATTATTTTTTCGATCAAGTTTTAAAATTGTAGCTTGATAAATAAATGCGCGGTAATGTTATACATATATCACGGGAACAAGTAATTGCACAAAATAATTTATTCTCAAACTTTCTCGCATATTCTCAAAATTATTACGTAATTTCCCCCAAAAGGACACTTCCAAATCGATCTTGCGATTTATATAAAAGGAGCTGGCCCAGATAGTGAACCATTTTAACTGCTTGCGCAAATATAAGCAAATAATTAAGCGGAACTATAAAACATAATCAAACTAACCAATAATCACCGTTAATATTTCTGATCAAACTAATTCTATTTTTTCCGCAAAGTAAAAATAAAGTAAGTTGGTTTATTGCTCGGCTAACTTCATGAAACATAACATCATGATACTAACCATTTTCCCGACCCTTTAGATGTACAAAGCGGGCATATTTCTTTTCTTGTTTTATATCGGCACTTTGATCCTCGCCGAGAAAATCACGATTGCCGGCACGTGGCAAGACAGCGCAGTAAAATACTACAGAGAAATAAATCACATGACCATAATTTCAGCCGGGGCGCCCCTGCCGAAAAATCTTACTTATATTGGTAAAACTATATTATGTGCCCCAGGAATTTGGCGCAGTATAACAAATAAAATTTCTGGCAATAAAATAATAACCATCTTCACGTGCCAAATTCTTGAAACTTTGCGCAGTATCGTAACGGCGATAACTCAGAAAAAATTAAGCAATAAATTTCTTGTATATGAGGAAGAATGGAATGTTGTGAAAATGAATCATGGTAAGTATGAATTGGAAATATTAAATATTGCATTTCTTATTATTTTACCTCAGTGTTAATCTCCCGAATTATCCATAGATTCGAAATTACTTAATCCCCGAGAAGTTTCATTACGGGGAATATTATTTTACATAATCTGCGTGACAAAAATCCTGTAGACATTGGTGGGATAATTTATTTCAGAAATCTAGTGTAGAAAGAGAGCATTGTTATGAGAATCTCGTAATTAGCAATTGATATAGAAATAAATTAGCTGTAGATATTTTTAGAAAGTGTGAGAGAGCGAAGAAATAACTTGATGCTGGGACTCGCATTAAATGGCCTAGGATCCGCGTACTCCCTCCCTCTTTGATAGCATCATACATTTCTTGCATTTTATAATTTAGGAGAATGCTTTGAATACGGAATAGGTGTCAATAAAGATAATGTTAAAGCATTTGAATGGTATAAAAGGTTTCGTTTTCAAATATTTTCGAAGTAGTTACACATTATAATATTAATCTTAAAAATGTAGTCAATATCTCCAAAAATTAGGATATCTCCAAAAATTAGGCGATACGATCAGTCATGTGACTTTGAAAGTACATCGTAATCCAATTGGTCATTCTTTTTATATTTTCACGCGAAATAAATGTCTGAAGTTAATTATGAATTATTTCACGAAAAAACATTTATCCTGGGATGTTATTGATTTTTTAGAAAAATGCGATCTTGAACCGTTCGATAAGAAAGTAAATCAATATATCAGGTGCCTCGACTTTATAGCTGGTGACAAAGACGAGCAAGTATGCAGAAGGAGAAAGGCTGATGCTCTTCTTAAGAGATATAGGAACGTAAGGATTTTTTTTAAGAAATGGGAACGAAAAATAAGTGGCGTGGCAGGGGTCCAGGATTGCTCGGCTCTTGTCATTCAAGGCCGATATATATGTATATTCGCTGAGCCACAAAACCAATGCGGGGCACTAATAGCCCAGTTGCTAACCCAATCCGGCTATTTGATGTTCAAGGCCAAGTGCTTGTAAGCACCTCGCTAACCTAGCAGTGGTCCCACCAGGGCATAGACAGCCCAATTCGGTTATCTTATGTTCAAGGCCAAGTGCTTATAAGCACCTCGCTGACCTAGTGGGATAGAATCAGATGGGAGTGACATTGCTAGTTAAGAATATCACTAACTCGAGTCTTCTTTGCTAGGGTTCTAAACCTGACCAAAAACGTGCCAAAGATTGGGAACAGAAACGCAAATCAAGCGTAACAGGTGGTGGTTCCTCAATCATCATCCACAATTCGACACTATCAGGGAACTCGTTGTCGGGAAACTCTTTAGGAATTGGTTCCATTGCTAGAAGCTCTGTTAATGAAACGGTACAGATGGGTTACGTTTAGTCGGAAAGTTGGAAAATGGCAAAACTAATTATTTTATGTTGCAGAAAAAACAGGCCCGTAATGTTCAAGCCCCGCGAACACCCGAATATCAAATGTTATCTTCAAGTTCCTCTGTTCCCTTAACCATAAGAAACGAAAGTGACGAAGAAACAGACACAGACAGTGATGGGACTGACAGTGATAAGCGAGATCTTAAGAATCTTACGTTTGATGAGTACGTGGATGGTGACGCTGTGCGTGTAGATGGTGGTGACGATGAAGAGACTCCTGATTACAATGATGATGAGGTCAATGTGGAAGCTGAACGGGACAAGCAGGGAAGCAGGTTAATTATCGAAGAAATAAATAAGATGAAAGCAGAATACTCAGAAAGATACCATAAGATACGTCCAGAGAACAAATGGAAGTTACCTTCTGGAAAGTTTGCAGAGGATATTCTCTACGAGTACACACTAAATTTAGAATACGAAAGGTAAATAATTTAAGCTAAAGTAATGTACAGAGTTTATTATACTGTAATCACAACTAATCTATAAAGTTTTGCTATCAGCTACTTGCACAGCTTTATAATTGATACAAGCGATGAGACGATTATGAATCTTTTCAATGATCTTGACAGGCATCACATTAATACATATAATATCCTTCCGGAACCACAAGTGGATGATAAATTACTAGACTTTCTTTTACGCTACCGAGAAGTGAGTATTATCAATTACTATTACTATCTGCGTAGCGATATTAATCATTATGTTACAATCGTGTCCTCTAGAAAACCCCTCAAGGTCTACGTAAGTTAATCAATGCTGGTATCGATTTACCTTCTTATGACTCGCAGAGAGATTTCGACTATCACTACATACACGAAGTTTTCTCTCATTTGTGAGTAATTGATAGCATTTTGCGAGTATCTTTACATTATCTAACCAAAATTTGTTATTACAGGCTTCCACGATATGAACTTAGGCCTAATGACTATACTAATTCACACTTAGAGGGCTGGTTCAAGACAAATATCTGGAGCGTAATAGTAGACTGTTGTCTTTTAGATGTGGTGAATTCAGAATTCATACGGTAAGTGTGCTTATTGGATATAGAGATATAAAATTTTTTAATGAAATTTCCATTTCTTTTAGCGGTGAAGGTTGCTCTCGCGCTTCAGGGCAACGAAAAAATAAGGGAAGAAAAAGTTCGGAAGTTAGAAAGATTCTTGGCCGTAAGTGTGATGGTACGGGAATTAGGGACACCAGATGAGTTTGCAATAAGCGAAGAAGGTAGATTATGGGATGGAGAAGACGGAACGAAGTACTTGAGTGATGGATTAAGGAAACTACCAAAAACGATGCGAGATACGCTAGCCCAAAAAGTAAAAAGTTCAAACTTAGTTCCGTAATATCTCTCCAACTAGAAATTGTAGGCTTCCTTCACTCCGGTAAAATACTGTACCTCTTATTTGAATAGTATCTTTTAAGAGTTTTATCTTTTCTCTTCTAATAAATATTCTTTTATTTATTATTATTCCAGGTCAATATCTCCAGCAGTTAGTCATGGACATTCCATGTGGATCTATTTGTCGACTACGCAGATATCCTTCTACAAAAATTCCGGCAAAATTGGATGAGATAGATGAACTAATTACCATGGTGAACGATATGCTAGTTGCGAAGGTATTCCCAATTCAATTTTGATTCATCAATTAATAACTTATATCTAATATAATTTATTTTTATTTAGTTACGTATCAGAAGATGTTTTGAATCTATAAATAACATAGATTCTTCTAGTAATGAAGGGTTAAAGAGGCGGTTGAAGAACCGAAAAGAAATTAAATCAGAGGCGGATAACCTCCCTGATACACAAAAAACTCCGAAAAAAAAAAAATTAAGGAAAAATTAGTTGGTTATACGAAATCGAAATTTAAGTATCCATGATGTAATGAGTATCAATATCACGATTTCAAGGTTTATAACTAATAAAAGCATTTAATAAAGTTTCATTATTTTTTAACATGCATGTGCTTGAGTGTATATGTGAGAAGACGGGGTTTGAAATCGAAACAATTAAGGCTACTGTGCCAAAATTCACTCAAATATGACCGCCATGGTCACAGCTACCGAAAATTTTCCGATTTTGATGAATATCAAATTTTTACTCAACTGTGACCACCTTGGTCACACTTGCCGAAGTTTTTTCCATGTTTTAACATTATCTAGTCATGTATGCTTATCGTTTCTACAAATAAAATCAATGTATACACTTATCAATTATTTTTAAATCCTATAAATGATGAACTGCTACCCGCTTCTATTCTCCTGCAGATCAAAGGCGAGATCTGATTGGCTGATCTGTAACTCCTCGTGATTTAAGTTTCGAGGAGCTAGGGAGATCTCGTGTGATACGAATTTTTTAATTTAGCCGTTATATTGTCTCAGATCTAATTTAGCCAAATTGGCCGGAGTGATGTCGCCTGTTAATCATGAGAAAAAATATGAATCTGTTTTCACCCAAACAATCGAATAAAAATGAATATGATATTTTATTATAATATACTTGCTATAAATCACTATAAGTCTTTAAAACAGCTATAAATCAATAAAATCACTAAAACAGCTATAAATTGCTATAAACTCCATATATCCGTAAAATGGCTAAATCTAGCGACTATAATGGTTTGAATCCTGTAGTAGTGCAGGCGTTAAACAATCTGCAATATAGGTATAGTGGTGAAACACCAGAAATATGGTGTTCCCGTGTTCGTTATCCATTTAAGACACTTCTTGAAAATAACCCAAAATACTTTTCTAAGATTGATTTATCCAGATGATTGAAAGATCATATAAAGATGGGGAATTTAAAGCTGGGAGACGCTCATTTCATATTTATTGCACTGTATGCGACTCCTTGGTAATTATTAACGAAAATACCATAGAATGTGCTAATAAGCATCTGAATGAATGTATTACTAAATCCACTAAAAAGAATCTTGCATATTCTAATCCTATACGAAAGAATGTGAAAAAAAGAGGAGCGCTAAGCCGAAAGAGTGTATCATCACTCAGTTCTGATAGAGTTGATGAGATTTATCTAACATATTGTTTTATATTCAAAAAAGGCTTGAATAATTATACTTATGAACATTCAAATGAAATTAAGAAAAGGATTGTAAATCGCTTAATTAATAATGTAAGAGTTATCCAACAGGCTTGGAGGAGTTACAAGAAGAGACCTGCATCATTCGCATCTCAAATTTGGAATGAGCTGAGAAATGATGGTACTACTGATGAGGAAAAGTTTTTAGGTGGCGATTGGGTAAAAGATAAGAAAATTCAATTATTTGTAAGATTCCACAAAGTATCAGTAAAAATGATTGAAATTTCTGAATATTATCATAGACAGGTAACTGCTTATCCGAATAAACTACGTGATGAAATTATCCGGTTAGCATATTCGCATTTTGGACTGGATAATTATATTGGAATGAATGTATGTGTATAACAGTATAAGGGAATACATCTCATGTGACTCTCTGACAAAATTCCCAGCTCTTATCCAGTTGTATAATGTGACTAGATATGAATAATAATTGTGAATGAATTTTCCAGATTAGTCCTTAACCCAGATCCTGAATATTGCCTTAATAAAATAATATATTGTCCACACCTTATGGCCTAGGCATGTGTGACATAAATTTTTGATCCATCTAGCGTGTCTCTTCTTATTTATAAAAAGGCCATAAATGTATTATTTGTATTATAATAAAACTGACCCTGGTGGTCTATTTTTTAAAATTTCATGGAATTCCATTTTTTTTGCGCCATGTATAAATATATAATGGCATTTAACCAAGCATATTCTGAATTGCTAGCCAAGTTACCAGCTTCCATAATAAATGAGGCATGGATTCGTCTCACATCACGGAAGCGTAACCCATTATCTGAGAAAAAGGCCAGTGAAATTATTTTGGTATGACTCTTGATTTTCTAAAAAATCTTTACATTCACTTAGGCAGAATTGGTGCCCCTCTTTTTTTACATGCATCTCTTAATGATTTGGGATTAGAATGATAGCCAGTTTGGGCGATAATATATTCCACGCAATATGATATTTTTTCAATTCTCTGAGCCTCAATAGGGTCTATCAAGATTTGTGGTTGGCTCATTCTGATTCTCTTTTATAATCACAAAAAGAATGGCATTTCGGAGGCTCCATTCAAGGCAGAGAAGAACATGTGAAGAATATAAAGCTGAGCTGAAGGAGGAGAACTACCATCTTCGTAGTGAATTGCAAGCAGAAGTTGATAGTAACTGCCAAAATGAAAAGCAGATCAGGGAGCTGGAACATGAATGTGTCCGTTGTGAACAAGAAATCCAAACTCTTAATGGTGAGATAGAACGTCTTGAGAATACTTCGAAAAAGGAAATAATAGAGCTAAAATCTGAAATTTCCAGCCTAAAAAAGCAACTATATCAAGCTAAGAAGGATATTCGTGATAATGAAAAACATATTTCTAGTATAGAGAGTCTGTTAGTAGATTCTGAGGAGCAGGTAGAGAAATTGCGATGCCGGATCAGAACCATCTCATCACAAAAAAATTCACCAGAACGAGGGAATTCTTCAGACTTGTATAATCCTAATATTAACATAGAAATGGCTACCATCACAGAGCTAGCAAATGCAATAGATGGTTATCTGAATAATACAACAATAAGTAGAGAAATCTTAGCTGATCAAATAAAAAGGGCGACAAGGCAGATTCACCGAAAAGAGAATAATTTGCATCAGGATTTAGTCCGTGAGCAACGAAGGCAATATGATGCAGAGGCTGAACATAATAATGAAATTATACGAAAGCAAAATGCTGAAGGAGTGAAACAAATGGTTATTGCTGACCTTTATCAGTTGCGGACCAATGCTCGAAATCAAGTAAATAGAATGTTAGACAATATAACAGGAAAGCGAACCTGTATTGGTATATTGCTACAGGAAAAATTTGCCTTACAATTGCTGTATTAGCGAAATGCCCATCACTTACAGCAAAATAGAGGGGATATAGGTCTGTTAGAATTTAATCGTGACAAGCTCTATGAGCGATATGAGAAATGGAAAAATAAGACCCAAGCAGAGTGCCAGAATAATTTTAATTTGCAGGGACAAATTTTAGCGTTACAGAATAATCCACCAAATTAAATAAACATGGCAGGAATCCCACAACCATTTTTTGACTGGGATGATAGTATTCCAGATTTTTTAGCGAAACTAAGATTATATCTGCAAAATCAAGGGGTAGATCCAGCAGATAATGCAGGAGGTCCACCCACAGGAAGAGAAGTAGCTATAGGATATTTAAAAGGCTATATGAGAGGAAGAGCCTTAGAATGGTTTGACGAAGAGATTACTACAAAGCAGAATTGGGAATTAGCAAACTTACTTGATAATACAGGGCAGGCTAACTTAGTAGTAGTAAATGGGCGAAATGCAGGTCAAATAGGAAATCAAGCATTGAATGAAGCTTTTGGCCAACCAGGAACTGCAATAGTCAAGTTGAAAGCTGTAGAAAGTCCCTGGAATGAAGATTGGCGTATAGCAGATGGTCGTCCTGCTAATATTGCTGTTAATGCACTAAATGCTAATAATGGTACTACGGTAGTTGTAGCTGGTATTCGTTTTGGTCAAGCCATATGGTGGCTAAAAACACATTTTCCTACAGTGGAGGAGGAGCTTCGGGATTTGATGTATAGAACAATTAGAAAGGGGAATATGACTATAGATGAATTGTATAGAAAATTATTACGAATAGGAAGATGAGCCAACTATAGACCTGAAGAATTACGTAGAAAGTTCTTAGATGCGCTTCCACTCTCATGGCTTGAAAAAGCTGAGGATATTGGTGAACATTTGCCATTGGATAAATTAGCTAAAAAGCTTTATGAGATAGAATTACGCCGAATAGCAAGACATAAAAAAGATAGATTACCTGACCCTCTAGTATCTAATCGAGCATCTCAAGAAATATATGAACCCTCACCTGTTTCAGCCCCGCAACAGCAAGGAATTTCTTTAGAAGATATGCAAAAAGCAATTCAAAATGCATTGGCACAACAAAAAACTGAAAACCAGGCATTAGTAAAGAAAGTTACAGAATTACAATCGCAAATGGCTCAGCAAGTATCTACCCCACAAACTGTTGAACCAGTTAGACAGCCAAAAGGTCCACCATCTTCATTGAAAACAGAGGAAGGTCTCAAGAATTATTATGTATCAGAATACTTAAAAGAAATAGGTTTATTAAGTAAGGAAGATTTAGACTCAGATTATCCTGTAAAACCTTTTCAAAGACCTCGTCCACAGCGAAACAATAATTCTGCTAGATTTGATAGGATTGAAGAAGGACTTGAAGAAACTCAGAATAATGTAAATCAGTTAGCTGATCTATTTCAGAAAAAAGTATTTATACAAAAATGTGAAATTTGTGAAGAAACGGGCCATAGCAAAGGAAGTTGTCCAAAAAGACCAATAGCTCAATCAATCTAAATTCACTCGGTCATATTTTACGCCTCTTACACTTATAGTTCCTCCGATTCAGATGGTGAGGAAAATGGTGGGGTGGTTATGATGAGAATGATAATAGATGAATTGGATATGACCCACTGGTAAAAAAAAACAGGTAAATGAACCGAGAGGCGCTTCATATAAGTTAACCGGTGATACTAATGCAATCTCACCTCTAGAATCTAGCCAACCTGAAACGTACGATCAGCTATTGTCTAAACTCTCACCACCAATACGAAAAATGTGCTTGTCTCGAAAGGCTCAAGAAGAGGAAACGAAAGAATCAGATGAGTGATTATCATCTTTACAATATTTGGATGCTAATATAAATGACTTAACTATTTCTGAATCTTTTTTAGATTTTGGCAGTGAGTTTGGTGGTATAAATGATCCAGCAATCAAAGCGCTTGGATGGAAGGCTGATAAACCATCTAATTTTGCCATAAAGGGCAATTCCAAGCATATTACCGATTCATTAGGATGGTATACAGACGTGCCAGTTACCTTGAAGGATAAAGAAGATAAGACAGTCACAGTCATTGGAAATTTTGTTCGTATTGATAATGGTGAAACAGAACCAATGCTATTTTTTGGTATGTCAAACATTCAAAAGGTTCAAGGTATTCTCGAGCCAAATAAAAACCAGTTCCACATAAAGTTACATAGAAAAGCATATATTATCCTAACCTTTAGCAAGGCTCCGGTAGTCAAGGATCTGCCAAAAGAGGAGCAGGACCAAGTATCTACGATTCTTCTAGTCTAACTGGTGAGAAGGACTTAAAAAAAATGCATAAATTGTATGAGTTATGAGGATATAGCAATTCGTATGAAAGAGCTCAAAAAGGCATTATTTTCTAGCATTCAATCGAATTTGGAAATCATAGGATACTATAATAGTTTACGCAGTCAGATTGAATAGGACGAATAACTATTTGGAAATAAGAGGATGACCTGATGCTTTAATTTTTTCTAAAGTATTATTGGTTCTCTTATACAAATCCAAGACATCTTCAGAGGGGTCAGTAGGTGAAATAATTTCTTTTTTTGTTCCAGGTATTGATTGACCCCCTTGGAATTGTTTCTTTCCTTCAGTCTTTTTTGCCTTACTACTTGCACTTTCTTCCGAAACTGGATCAGTAGATTTGCTAATTTCAGCATCGTGTATCTTGTTTTCCAGTGCTGTAAAGGCAGTATTAAATTTATTTTGAAAATCTCTTTCAGTTTGGTGCTCCTTATTCTGTTTATCTATAACATTCATACTTGATGTGACTGCTAAATCATTCCATTGAATCCTATTAAACTCTTGTCCTCTCCAAATTTGATATAAGCGACTATTCGATATATTATATTTTTTACTTAGCTGAGCTAAAGGTTTAGACTTCATATCACGATATTGCATGATATCTTTGTAATCTGCGGAGGATAAGTATCTAGCCCTGGAACTAATATGTGTTTTAAGCGGGGTGTAATCATATTAGTAGCTAATCTCTAAAGATTTTTTTTTTCACTATAAATAAAAAATCCACAAAAAATATTGATACTATGGTAATATCAGTAATACAATAGTATCAGTACTATACTAATATCGGTAGTATCGATAGTATTAGTATCAGTTATATGGTAGTATCAGTACTATGCTAGTGTCGATAATATAGTAGTATCAATAGTATTGGTAGTATTAGTATCAGTTATATGGTAGTATCAGTATTATGCTAATATTGGTAATATGCTATCATAGTATCCATAAAAAATAAAGTGCTTACTGCGCAGTCTCAAAATTTTGCTCATATTTTTTTTAGTATACTAATGATTAAGCTGAAAAAAAAATATGCCCAATGTACATACTTTAAGAGATATCGAAAATAGAGAGGTGGTTGAGGGTCCACTAAGTAAACACACCCCCTCGGGCAGTGTTGTACATTTTTGATGTCTGCAGCTTTTTTTGGTTGTCCTGGACATGTCCGCACTCTGTCCGTACTCTTCTGTAACTTAAAATTCTCTACAAAAATTATATATATTTATGCATAACACAGGTCGAAATGCTAAAAATTGGCAAAAAAAATGGCGCGAAAAGCAGTGGCTATTCTTGGCTATTCTTGGCTGTTTTTGGCTATTTACGAATTAACCTATACTATTTGTAAATAGTTTATACAAATTTGCGAATAGTTTATGCGATTTGCGCCATTTTTTTTGCCTATTTTTGATCATTTGACGTGTGTAATTGGATGCTAAACATTTTTGCTAAGTATCGAACAAGGCTATCATAGAAAAATTTCGAGGGGTTATCATTTCTTTTTTGTGTAACATGTCCCAGACATTGTCCCGTGACAACACTACCCTCGGGTAATCGGCTTGATAGCATCCGCAAATCAGAACTTGAGAAAGCATTGCGCGGTAACATCAAAACTGCTTCTGATATTGCTAATGATTATAAAGACCTGCAGGACATATATTTAGAGCGAGTGAAGGATTTTAATCGTATCTGTTCAGGCTTTAACAATAAGTTTAGTCGGCTGAATACAGCTAATACTGAGCTCAAAGCCAAATATTCTGCTAAAATCAAATCGCTCAAATCCAATATTAAAATACTAGAGAGAGAGCTAACTTTGGCCCAGAAAGCTTCGTCCGCTGATAAGGTCCAGATTCTTTCTCTTGAAACTAAAATACGTAAATTGGAAGGTAAGTTGGAGGACATAGATCTAGAGCGTACATATCATGATTTGGATGTAATGGGAGGAGTGATAGAAAAGCCAGTAGAAATGCCAAAGTTACCAGATTGGCTTCATGATAATTTAAGAAGTATTGTCTGTGAACTCGGGCTCAAAGATAAAGTAATGGAACTTGATAAAAAACTTGCTAAGGAAGATATAATAGAGGTGTTGCAAAAAGTAATATCAGAAAAAGACCACCACCTTCAAGATGCCAATGCTCGCCTAGAAAAGGCATTATCAGAGAAAGATTCCCTTTTTCATGAGGCCAATACTCGTATAAAAAAACACTTAGCCAGTTTTGAAAAAAAAACCAGTCCTGATTCTTTTGAGACCCCGCAGGTAATTGGGAGAACTGATATCTCCAATACTACTTTAGCATTACCCCACTTGCGCTCTATTACTGGACCAGAAGCAAGTGAAACTAATTTCATCTTTTTTCAGCATGCAATCATCTTCGTAATAGTATTACTAATCATATACTTTCTATAGCACATACTCTCTTACCTATACTCTTCCAATCCATCTTACTAAGGTTGCTTGCCAAAATCAAGTAGTTTAGGCCAAGGCCGAAACTTTTTAAAACTGAAAGTTTAGGCAATTAAAAGTAAATTTGCCGAAATTATACAATGCCAAAACTTTTACCGAAAGGCCGAAATTTGGCCGAAATTATTGGCCAACATTAATACTATAATTCTGGCTGGAATAATGATCGACATGTAAATTTCCTTTTGTAGAAATCTGTGTAACATTTGTGCGACACATTTCTCCGATTTTACTGGAAAACAAAATTTCCTTTTTTTGAAATTTGTGTAATGTCACGTGACACAATATCATAATTTTGGCCGAATTTTAATTTTGGCCAAAATTAAGACCGAGTTTCGGCCTATTTTCGGCATTTTCGGCATTTGATTTGATTGGCCGAAACCTTTCAGAATTTCCTTTTTAGTTTCAGCAGGCAACCTTACACCTTACAATGAAGAAAAAAATATTCCAAACTATAAAATACCCTTAAATAGAAATCAAGGTTATGCATTTCCAATCTGATACGCAGAAGAACCAAAAGACAGGACTACCTCCTATGAAACTTCGTCTTTTAATTCTTAATTTACGCATTTCAACAAAAGGTTCTAACAGTTCATTTTTACTTTTTTTTTAGATAGCTACTATTAATCGGGTTTCAATTTTTTTTTGTAGAACTGGCTTTAGAATTCTATTTGCTAGAAATTATAGAAGAATAAAATATCTTTATTATACTGAAATATAGGAACCCCTGAAATGCTGTTAAGGTACATTGGACTTTTACGTGTTGGGTAGACATCTGGACATTCATATTACTTTGTGAAGAATTATGTAGTTTTTTGACTAATAACAGTATGCGTAACTATTAATTAAAAAACTATTACAGATTCATTATAAAACTATTATGCAAACAATTGCAAATCAATAAATTGTATTATAAATTTATTAAAAATAAATTATAAAGCTATTATAAAACTATTACAAAATAATTACAAATCAATTACAAAATCATTGTAATTTTTTGATATTATTTTGACATGAAATTATAAGCCTAGATAACATGGTTTTAATGGTTGACATAATGCATTAAAACTATGTAAAAATAATATTATAGCTATGTCAAAAGCATATCAAAAAAATAGCTATTTTTAGCAAAGGATATCTAAATATATTAATTATAAGCAACAATATTAAGCTATTTTTTATGTTTTAATTAATATATACTATTACATTTAAATACTTCAAAGTTTCTAAAGCTTCTTTTGACATGGTTATTTGTGATTTATATTTCTTCATTTTTGCTTCAAAATAAAACTTTACAGATTGTCCCAAGACATCCATGATTCTACTATTATTCAAATTGACAATACCATAACTTAATGATAATTTCACCTTTGCTTTCTTTTCTTTCTCGCATAAGCCTATTAATTTTTCTTTGATATCTATTTTGCAAATAATTGCATCAAACTTCTAGAAAGACCAAATCATATCTATGTATTTATTATTAGTTACCATGAATTGTGATTATTTATAATTGTGAGATGAAGGAGAAGAAGGAGTTATAGAAGTTTTTGGTATTGAGTGAAGTTCAACTTCATTACTTGAATTGTTTAAAATACTTGAAACTTTATAGCTGTGAATATAAGAGTCAGAGTTTTTAGTATTGAGTGAAACTTAACTTTATTATTTGAATTGTTTAAGATACTTGAAATTATACATGCTGCCCAAATTATTTTGGGATGTCATAATTATAATTTGGGATGTTATAATTCATTTAGTTTATATATAATTTACTATGTAAAGTGCCAAAATAATTTGGGATGTTATAATTGAATTTGGGATTTTACTTATAATTACGGCAGTCCAAAATAATTTGGATGGCATGTATACTTGAAATTTCATAGCTGTGGAATGAAGAAGTTGTAGGAGTTTTTGATGTTAAGTAAAGCTCAACTTCATTACTTAAATTGTTTGAGATACTTGAAATTTCATAGTTGTGAAATAGAGAAGTTGTTAGAATTGTAGATGTTGTATAAGATGTGTAAGACTCTATTTCATTACTTTTCAGATTATTTAAAATATTTGAAACATTCATCATATTTACAGATGTGTTAGTGGCCTAAATAGTGGAATTGAAGAATCAGACCAAATTTAGTTTAGATTACAATATAATCCAATTTTTTTAAAAAAACATAACATTATGTAAATACCATACTTCATTCTTCTTAATGTATTCAGTTACTATAAACAGATATTATTTCTGATATTTGTGATTACGTCATTACTTTTGATGTTCCAATTTGTCTAAATTAAAAAATCATTGGAATTAAATATAGCAATCAGTCAGTTTCAAGATTAATAGCATTACTGATTCTTGTTAACTATTTTAGCAAGCTTATTTCACAGCTGTTCAAAAATCTTTTGATAACTTTGGTAGTAGTTAATCTTACATATAATTTCATTTACTGGAATATCTCATCAGCCACAATTAGATCATAGTTAATTTATTCATAATAATAAACCAGAAATTTAGTGGTTTGATCAAAATATCAGTTAATATGGATGGTTCACCAATATCTTATATTGAATTTTTTCATTGTCAAGTTTTTATTGATCAATATTCAGAAATTTTTGGAAAACTTCTTATTCTTTAGAAAAAAAATAGACATTAGTATAAAATTAACATTACTTATACAGGTCGAAAAGTGAAAAATCAGGCATCAATCAGTCACCAATTGGTCACCAATCAGATAACTGATTGGTGACTAATTGGTAACAGATTGGCATTTTTGCCAAATACCATTACCAATCAGGTAGTTTGCTAACTTTTGATCCAGTGATCAGAAAAAAATGAAATATGACTCATTGGAATCGTCTCAACAAGATGAATCTAATGGTAGCAAAATCGCATTTCTAGGATTAATAGTTAATAAAAAATTAAATAAAATATAAATGATACATTTTTATTTTTATATTTTACTTAATATCTCTTTAAGTATTAATCCTAGAAATGCGATTTTACTACCATTAGATTCATCTTGTTGAGATGATTCCAATGAGCTATATTTCATTCTTTTCTGATTACTGGATCAAAGTTAGCAAACTGCCTGATTGGTGACAGTATTTGGCAAAAATGCCAATCTGTCACCAATCAGTCACCAATCAGTCACCAATCAGCTACCTGATTGGTGACTGATTGGTGACTGATTGATACCTGATTTTTCACTTTTCGACCTGTGTTAAACTATTCTACACCCATTAACTATAAAAAAACAAAGATGAACCATAACATAATATGTAGTTTGACAAACAGTTGGTATATAAGCATTCAGTTGTGTTATAGCAATAATATATGTCTATTCAAGAATAATTAATAAGGAAAGGCATACTTTACTATTACTAGCTAATATATATGTAATAAGTAGCTAACTACTTGATGGTTTGTCAATATGTCATGTAATTGTCTTAGAACAGAAACGTATTCTAGTCCTTGAACCCACTTATCTTAAAGTTAATACAATACTTAACTTCAAAGTTAGAGAGATATTGTCAAGCTTACTAAGAATATTCTTTGAATAATAGGCTTAGAGCAATTCTATATAATATATGTTCGTTTCTTTTATCATAAGTAAAATTATCATTTTACGCTCTGTATTTAATTAATAACCAATCTGTGTTATTCTTGAAGAAGATTTCTATTGCTTGTAGTTGCGATTCACAAGATATAGTAGTATTAGCTGATATTAAAGATGGATATATAACAGTTATATAACATAAATAATATATATAACAATTATATAATATAAATAACATCAATATGTAATTTTATTAAATTTATTATTTTTAATTATATTTAAAGATAAATGAAAAATTAAAAAGTTATACTTAAAATTGATACTATCCCGTTGGCATTTGGCCGTGGTCAAGAATTTTTTTGGCCGATTTGGCCGGCCAAAATGGCAAAACGGCTAATGGCTAACCCCGGCCAAATTTGGTCAAATAACAAAATACTAATATTTTATTAAGGCTGTATTGGCATTTGGCCGCGGCCAAATGGCCAAATGGCCAATCCCGGCCAAACGGCCAAGTGCCAACACTGCCTTAAACTGTTTTGCAGCCAAATCTGCCTGCAATTTTGTTTTTTAATTAAAGACACTTTTAAATATCTTAAAATATTTTATTACATAAACAGATATTTTTGTAATAAATTCTATAGTATTTTCTAAGTAAAAATCGAAAAAAAATTCAATTTGATTAATGATTTTTCAAAAGTAAATGATTGACAAATTATAACAAATAGTAGCTAAATTTTTCAAATTGAAATATCTTTTTATCCATTAATCCTAGAAATATAAAATTACCACCATTTGATGCGTCTTAATGAGAAGAATCTGATAGAAATAAAATTGTCTTTCTACAAATATTATATGACAGGATAACTTATAAAATCTAAAAATTTATAAATTAAGATAACTTTTTATCTATCAATTCTGGAGTTATAATTTTATTACCATTAAATGTGCTTTAATAAGAGGAATCTAGCAAATATAATTTCATCTTTCTACGATCACTAGATCTTAAGATATTTTAAAAATTCAAAAATTTTTAAAATTAATTTTAACCCCTACAGTTTAAGGGATAAGTAAGTTAATTTATAAATTATTTAAGTAATATTATAATCAAAATTGTTCAGAATTATAAATTAAAAAATTGTAAAAATAGTTAAAATGTTCAATTCTAAATAACTGAAGTTTTTATTTAGAATAACTGTAGTAAAATAAATTTTAGTTTCTAATTTTTTGCATTAAAAGGATTCAAATAAGCCAAAATTTATAAAAATCAGATTAGTAGTTAAGAAGAAATTGATTGTCAAAAAATTCATATTTTATATATAAAAAATATATAAAATATAAATTTTTAATGATTAATTTCCTTTTAACTACTTATTTGTTTTTATAAAATTTAACTTATTTTAATTCTTTTTAATTAAAAAAATTAAAATTTAACATTATTTTTGTAGTTGTAAAATTTATATAAAAATAATACAATAATAATGAAATAAATTTAATGTTCAATAATATAAAAAATATTAAATAAATTTACTAGTAATATTACCTGTAGTTATATAAAATATAATTATAATAATGTGTAATTTATTATATTATGATATATTTAGCTTTTCACAATTTTACTTTTCCTAGTAGATTCTTCTATAATTTCATCTTCATTTTCTTAAACTTCTTCTTCAATATTATCATTTAATTTTTAACTATTAGTTAAACAAAGATTAACATATATAGACACTAATTTAAAAAGTTCTGTTTATATTTATTAATCTGTTTCTTCTAATATTTTGAATAAAGTTAAATTTAATTAATTATATTCTGAAGCAACACTTGATGCTAGAATTGACATTATTTGTATTGCAAATTTACCAAGAACTGGTATTTCTTTTTGCAATCCAGTCCACCAATTAAGTGGATTTTTTATTGCTTCTAATTCTTAAAACATTGATATACTGAATGGACCTGTTTTGTTATTAAACCATAATAATTTTTTTGTCAATTAACCATTTAAATTCTGATTCATGTCATTTCTGTAACTTTTGAAAAAAAATATTCTTTTGCTAATTCTTGACCACAATATCTTAAATCTAAATAATAAGCAATAATAATAGCAGGATAATACATTTTTTTTCAACGTTGTTTACATTTATTAAAAATAATATTTTTTAAAGAAGTAAAAATATTAAGTTGCATGATCTTACTTTTTAATTTTATAAATCTATAATTAAAAAAATATTACTTACTTTGCTGAAACTTGGAGTTTACAATCGATATTGATTAGATATCGCAATGATATCATTACGATATCATTACGATATTTTGATAAAAGATAGATTCGACGTCGTTAAGTTAGTCGTAACTGTATTTAATCGACATTGATTAGTTCGATATCTCTGCGATATCGCTGCGATCATTATGCGATGTAAATATTATCACGTAACCACATTGTAGTAATGTCGTATTAACATTACATCTAGATGTGTATAAGAGACAGTAATATGTAGTTTGACAAACAGTTGGTATATAAGCNTGACTTTGCTGAAATCACTCACGTCTGTTCCAGGTCCTGGTGGTGAGTGTTTTCCTTGGTATATGTAAAGTTGCTTGTCTAAACCTCTTCAAAATCCTACGATTAGTTTCATCAAAATTTTACTATAAATTTATTATAGTTTTGGCAGAGTTTCGGCAGTTTCAGCATTTATAATAAGTTTCAGCAGTTTCGCTTTTTTTCAAAGTTTCGCCAGTTTTTTAATATAACTTTAATATAGTTTTGGCAGAATTTTGCTTTTCGGTGAAACACCATCTTGCCTAAACCCCTAGGTTTCGGCAAGCAACCTTAGTCTTCACCATAATTAGGCTTCACAAAGAAATTCACAGATTAACCAATGAGCCAAAGGTGATCAACCCTATTACCTAATAATGTAATAATATTTTTAATAATATATAAGTCAAAACTTTAAATGAGTCAGGTTAAATAAATTAAAAGGTAATTTGTACTTGACTCAATAAATTAAATTAAGTAATTTGTACTCAATTTAGCAAATTGAATTAATTTAAAAGAATTGCTAATCGTCGCTTAGATGATTATCGCCTAAGTTTTTTTTTCGAATATGTCACATGATGTATAATATATAAATATAACTATTATCCATTTATAATTATTATTTTGCTCAGTTAGTTCAATGGTTAGAATGCTCAATAATTTTTTTTTATTTTAGAAACACAGGTTCGATTTCTGCACTGGATCTTTAATTTTTTTTGTTAACGATATAAATATATAATACCATGTGTAAAAACGCGTTAGTACGTTATGATACTAATGATCATATGATATATCACGATATCACGTATTATTGTATGCTGCACACTAGAAGCATACTGTTAATGCTAAAATCGGCAAGAAAAAACAAACTTCTTTATCCAAAACTAATCACTTTTCTCCATCATAGACTACAAAATTACAAAATAGAAATATCAAATGGATAATGTGTATAAGCGTCACCTTTTTAAGGTGTACTCCTCAGCAGATGAAGGGATAGATGACGTTAACGAATTACAAGATGAATATAAAAGTATGTCTAGTGAAGAAGATTGTGTGTTATTTGGCCTTGAGGTTGGAGATGTGTTTGAAAGCTGTGATTCTGCCGAAAAACAAGTTGTATACTGTGCAAAAAATAATGGCTTTGAAGTAAAGAAGTTTCGGCTTAAGAAAAACAAAAAAGAGATTGTATGTCGAACTTTTAAGTGCAAGTTTTTTGGAGTATATCGTGTACAGAAGAAAGCTGACATAGAAGACACCCATGAATGTAAAAGTGTAAGAATGAATTGTCCCTGGAATATTAATCTTCAGCTCACTGGTGACCTCATATATGTTACCTTACTATGCAACAAACATAGTAACCATTCTCTTGAAAAGGAAAATTTCGTATCAAATCGTCAACTCAGTTCAGAAATTCTTGAGGAGATCAAATTTCTCGTAAATATTGGTTGTGAAGCAAGTCTAATTATCCACGCATTTCAAAAACATTTTCCTGAAACAGTAATACACCTAAAGTATGTATATAATGCGATTTGTCACTTTTGGAACATTCAGAATAAATCAAAATTGGATGCTGCCAAAACGTTTAAAAAATTAATGAAATTACAACGTGAAGAACACAGGTGATTTGTCAAAGCGAGGCTGGAAGGCGAAGACAACCACCTTACAGGTTTTTTTTGGATGAGACCATCGCAGATAGAACTGTGGTGTAGATTTCATGATGTTGCGATTAATGATAATACATCACAAACAAATAAATATCGAATGTATTTATCCCTTACTATAGTAGTAGATAATCATGCATGCTCGCGTATGGTCGCAATTGCTGTTGTATCAGACGAAACTAAAGAAACCAGAAACCTATCAATAGATTTTAGAATGTTTACTGTCTGCCACAGACAATCTTGCGCCAAATGTTTTATTCATCATTGATGCAGATCCCACGATGGTTTCAGCTATTCATGAA